AGGAGAGTGAATTCTGAGGTGTTTTCTCTGAGTTTTCTGGATTTGTTTACCATGTATTTTGCATAAGCAAATATCTTCATGGTAACTATAAACATGGATATAAAAAATAGCACTAATCGCTTCTCGGCCTTTTGGCTAAGATCAAGTGTAGTATCTGTTCTTATCAGTTTAATATCTGATACGTCCTCTATCCGAGGACAATATATTAAATGGATTTTTGGAGCAGGGAGATGGAATAGGAGCTTGCTCCGTCCACTCCACGCATCGACCTGGTATTGCAGTACTTCCAGGAACGGTGCACCAAAAAAAAAAAAAAAAAAAAAAAAAAATAGCACTATTAGAAAACTAAGGTAACCTTAAATGAATGAATCTTTTACATAGTTTTTTTTCCACAATTAAAGTCAATGATGAAAGATTTAGACATGTGATTTCCATAGGATTTCAGATGACTTGCTAGTTAATACATTTCACATATAGTCTTAGTTTATTATATTCCAATTCCTTAAGAACTGCTTGCTTATATATATCTTATCAAAACAGATACCATTAAATTGCATATGTTTCTTACAAGCAGCTAGTAATTTTCTTGCAGCGATCAAGAATATTGATATCCTCCCAATGAGTATGAACAATATATAGCTAGCTATTATTGAATCTTACTGTTAATCACGTCCATATAATACTTATAGTTACATATGTTGCTTTATGAGATCATGCTTTCTTCAGAAAAAAAAAATTAAAAAAAAACAATGCACAGTCTTATTTATTTTTCTTGAGTCATCAGTGTTTTGTGTCTAGATGCTATTGAGTCATTTGTAATTTGCTCTATTACTGACCTGAAATGACAAATAACTTGCAATGATGCTTTTTAGACAGATATGTCATTCTTGGAGGCCACCGAGACTCATGGGTGTTTGGTGGCATTGACCCTCAGAGCGGAGCAGCTGTGGTTCATGAAATCGTGAGGAGCTTTGGAACACTGAAGAAGGAAGGTAGTATAAACAAAGGCAAAAAGGCCAACTTCTGAGCCTCAGTTTAGTCTTCTGTAAAGTGAGTGTAAAAATACCACTTCAGCCATGACCATGTTTTGGTAAAAACGCCAATAAAGGCGGGCGCGGTGGCTCACGCCTGTAATCCTAGCACTCTAGGAGGCCAAGGCAGGTGGATGCTCGAGGTCATGAGTTCAAAAACAGCCTGAGCAAAAACGAGACCCCGTCTCTACTAGAAATAGAAAGAAATTAATTGGCCAACTATATATATAGAAAAAAAATTAGCCGGGCGTGGTGGCACATGCCTGTAGTCCCAGCAACTCGGGAGGCTGAGGCAGTAGGATCGCTTGAGCCCAGGAGGGATAAAAAAAAATGCCAATGAAATCATTAATGTTGGTTAGTTAATTATATTGTTTATTTATTTTTGCATTTATTTATATATAATATTTATATTATTGATATGTATATATCATATGATAATATGAAATGAAGGAATTATACTGCTATTGGTGTCTCTTGGCAACTCAAGAAGGAAGGTGGTTTCTTCACTGGAGAGGACATACCAGAATTAGGTCATAAGTCAAAGCTTCCTGGTGAGACAAATGTAAGCAGAAGTTCCTAGGGCTCTTCCAGCCTCACATCTCAGGTCAAGTGTCCTGAGTAAGGAGAAAGAAGCTCTATTTAGAAAAATACTGGTCTTGCTGCCTGATGGGATTCTGTCCAAGGTTTGTTATATGTATTCTCACACCCCCAGCCCTGTTTGCTCTCAGAGAAATTAGGTTAATACTCTCAGCACCATCACTTCAGTCATTTTAGAATCTTCTTACAAAAACCAAAATAAAATTTAGTTCAAATGTTTGCTTTTTAAAATAATCATTACACATTGAGAGCAGAAAGTCCATTCCCATTCTCTTTGCTGACCCTGCAAACAAGGTGTCTGGGGGCTGTAAAATGTAATTCATATGTTTTTAGAAACTTTAAAAACAATGTGAAAGTATGTTAAGTTTGAATGCTACTTATGTTCTTAGAGAAACTGTTTTCACATGTGCCACCTATTTTGAGCTCAAAGCATTCAGAATGAAGTTTACCTAGTTATTTCTGTTCTCGTTTTACAGATAAGTTAATCAAGTAATTTTCCCAGGGTTATATAGCTACTGTGTAGCAGAATGAAAGAACAAGGGTTCAAACTCAAATTTCTGGCTACAGTCACAAAACAATGATGTCTCTATTTAAAATAAAATGTAAAGGTGCTCCATATTCTTTTCCACACATCTATCTTTTATTTATATATGTACTATTTTTTTTTTTTTTTTTTTTTAGACAGAGTCTTGCTCTGTTGCCTGGGCTAGAGTGCCATGGTGTCAGCCTAGCTCACAGCAACCTCAAACTCCTCGGCTCAGGCGATCCTCCTGCCTCAGCCTCCCAAGCAGCTGGGACTACAGGCATGTGCTATCGTGCCTGGCTAAATTTTTTCTGTATATTTTTAGTTGTCCAGCTAATTTATTTCTATTTTTTTAGTAGAGACAGAGTCTCACTCTTGCTCTGGCTGGTATCAAACTCCTAAGCTCAAACGATCCTTCCGTCTCAGCCTCCCAGGGTGCTAGGATTACAGGCGTAAGCCATGGAGACTGGCCTATCTTACATTTTAAGTAAACAAAATAACGGAGGCCTGAATTAACATAGATGCATTAGCGTTTAATCTTACCACAAAGAGTTTTATGATTTAGCAAGAAAATTCCTGTGGTAAATATAAAGCATCACTGTGGCAACTACAGAGTATGCCCAAAAAAGTGGGATGATGGGGAATAATAATGAATAGGAAATTTGAATAACACTATTCACAAACTTGGCAAAAATAAAATATTGAATTCAACAGCTATAGGATACTTTAGAGCACATAAAATGTTTACCAAAATAATGACAGCTTACAATTTTTGGAGCACTTACTACAAGCTTTATAAACATTTCATTCACTCTTCCCTATGGTCAAGTGGTATCTTCATTTTACTCTTGTTATTTCTGGCATACAGATGGAGAAATGGAAGTTTAGTAAGTTCGAATAATTTTCCTTCAGTCACTGCTAGTAAGTGAGAGAACCAAGTTTTCAAGTAAGAACCTTTCTTTAACTCCAAGGTCAGTGTTTATAACCTTCAGGCCATGTGACCTCCCTACTGAATTCTGTAGATTAGAGCAGTAACAGCAGACATTGCTAATTCTAACCGAGCCCCTGTGGGCTACTTCTGGCAGAGAAAGGAGTGAAATCATACAAGCAGCTGACATTGAACAATTGTTCATTTAATGTCAGAACAACAAGAAAGAATTCTGAAGAATTTTCTTTTAGTTGTATTTGCATTCAGAACACCGACTGCATCTAGCAAGTTCTTTCATTCTGAGCAGCTGCAGACCACCAATGACTTCCTATGCATAGGCAATCCTTATAAACCTGTTAGAATATTTATGACATTGTTGGATTTTTACTGTGTCTACATTTTCCCCCTTTTATATAAAACTGTGCTATGTTGTATTGGCAAAACAGCTTTAAAATCTTCCAAAAGGAAATTATATAAGTAAAGATTCTCACCACAACTTACTCTTCCTAAAGAACCGATAAAGTTGTGTTTTTTTTTTTCTTTTCCCATTTGAGCTTGATAATGTCTTGGATATATTATAAATTTTTCTAGTATTCACGTATACACATATATTTTAGGATGGAGGCCTAGAAGAACAATTTTGTTTGCAAGCTGGGATGCAGAAGAATTTGGTCTTCTTGGTTCCACTGAGTGGGCAGAGGTCAGTTGATAATTTGCTACAATATGATTTTTTATAATAAAGCAGTTAAGACTTAATTTCCAAACATGTAAAAATAAGAGGTAAATACAATGAGAAAATATTCAAAGTGTTTTTCCAAACAATCTGAAGCAACCTATTCTTGTTTAAAAATCAACCATGACAATCTCTTTTGTTGCTAAAGAACTAAATTTTCGTTTGAACTTTTTAGAACTACTTACTATCAATTGTAAAAATGAATCTTTAATTTCCCCGTAAATATGGTAATAAATGAGTAGATATACTAGAAACTAAACATCAAAACATGTTTTCTTAAGAGACAAGGTATCACTGTGTTACTTAGGCTTGAGTGCAGTGGTGTGATCATAGCTCACTGCAACCTTGAACTCCTGGCCTCAAGCAATCCTTAGCTTTCCAAGTGTTGGGATTACAGGCATAAGCCACTGCTCCTGGCCTGCGATTTCTATCATGATTGTATTATGGTTTCTATTAAGCTCCTAAAGCTAACCACATTTGAATACCCCTTGAGCTTGTACAGTAAAGTATACTTTTCACATTTATCTTCCTTATATCATAATGACCTACTCTATATTAAATCATGCTGCAAGTAAGGGAGAAACACATAATATTTTCTAGGCTCCTTGAGAAGTGATTTTACCTACGTTTATTATTGGCTTTGTGTAATAGAAACATTAGCTGTAAATTAATATATAAAAAGTTAATATTTATTCCATGAACTTCTAGTCATGCTATAAATATTTCTGTGGCTCTGTTATTCTCCAGGTATTATGTGAAACCTCATAAGCTTCAATTTTCTTTGGATAAAAAATAGTGCTACAGTAGACCTACTTGAAGCTTTTACAAGAAAGAATTATGCTGGTGTCTGAAAGAGCCTAAATATTTTGAGAGTGTGATTTGTTTCTTTCAAGTTATTTTATTCACTTAGAGTTTCATTTTTTTTCCATTTTCTGCCTTACAGTCAGAATGCTTAGGGAATTACATGTTTTGGAGCCTCAAAACCCACATTGATATCTCAAAAAAAAACCACTGATAAACCTTTTTTGTTCTTTAAAATATGCAATTATCAATATTGACCAATAGATGGAGCCATCCTACAGGAGAACTTGATTTCATGTGGGGTGTATGGAATTATGATTAACTTCATGTATTTCAACCCCTAAATTTGAATAGCTCATTCCCTGTGAATGAGGCAAGATTCTTTGCTTAAATAATGAGATGTCCATGGAAATATTTTCACTGAAAAGTCATTCATGTTTGCTAAGAGACATTTTTGAAGGATAAACTGCAGTATGGTTAAGAAATTAACTCAGGGCCGGGTGTGGTGGCTCACGCCTGTAATCCTAGCACTCTGGGAGGCGGAGGCAGGAGGATGGCTCAAGGTCAGGAGTTTGAAACTAGCCTTGAGCAAGAGTGAGACCCCTGTCTCTACTAAAAATAGAAAGAAATTAATTGGCCAACTAAAAATATATGGAAAAATTTGCTTCCAGTTCCAGCAGCATCAGTATCACCTGGAACTTGTTATAAACGTAAATTATTCAGCCACAGCCAATACCTAATGAATAAAAATGTATGTGCATAGGGACTGGAATCAGTGGTTTTAACAAATCTTTCAGGAGATTTTGATGAATGCTAAAGTTTGAGAAACACTGTTACAAGCTGATTTACACATGCAAAGCCTCAGTGTATTTCTTACACTTGAGAACCAAAGTATCATTAGACTCAGTTTGATTCAGTAAGAGTGATTAAGTATTTCTTTTTTTTTTTTTTTGAGACAGCGTCTCACTTTGTTGCCCAGGCTACAGTGAGTGCCCTGGCGTCAGCCTAGCTCACAGCAACCTCCAACTCCTGGGCTCAAGCAATTCTGGTGCCTCAGCCTCCCGAGTAACTGGGATTACAGGCATGCGCCACCATGCCCCAGCTCATTTTTTCTATATACATTAGTTGGCCAATTAATTTCTTTATAATTATAGTAGAGACGGGTCTCGCTCTTGCTCAGGCTGGTTTTGAACTCCTGACCTTGAGCAATCCGGCCGCCTCGGCCTCCCAGAGTGCTAGGATTACAGGCGTGAGCCACAGCACTGGGCCTGTGATTAAGTATTTCTTAGTGAAAAAAATATAATAGGAGAGATTAAGTTCTTACTCAGAATTTTGGGGATTCAGAAAATAAGTCAATCACTTTGGATAACAGATTTTTTTCATGAACATACACAAGGTCTTTTATATTTTGAGTCATTCACTTAATATAATAAAGGAAAAATCTCCTTTCTTCAGTTTAGAAAATATAGGAAAACTGTAGTAATCAAAAAACAATCCAGGCCAGGAGAGGTAGCTCACGGCTATAATCCTAGCATTCTGGGAGGCTCTGTGGGTGATTCACTCAAGGTCAGGAGTTCAAAACCAGCCTGAACAAGAGTGAGACCCCCCCCCATCTCTACTAAAAATAGAAAGAAATTAATTGGCCAACTAAAAATATATGGAAAAAATTAGCCAGGCATTGTGGCGCATGCCTGTAGTCCCAGCTACTCAGGAGTTTGAGGTTGCTGTGAGCTATCCTGACGCCACAGCACTCTAGCCCTGGAAACAGAGTGAGACTCTGTCTCACAAAAAAAAAAAGAAAAGGAAAAAGAAAGAAAGAAAAAGAAATTAAACTCATTTGCCATTTACCCTAAGTATGTGGACTTTTCATCTTAAATGTTGGTTTTTAAGACATTAACTGCTATGTGAATTATATTTAGCTCATGCTAGTTTTGAGCCCAGAGCTTCATGAAGCATGTGTAACTCACACTTCTCTTTATCTTGGGAGCCATGTGAACTGTTTTTCAAGTTGCATGTAACTGATGCAGAGAAAACAATAAAAAAATAACAAGTTTTTCATTAAATTACAAAGGATCACTTGGTTTTCTAATTTTTATTCTATTTTCATAATAAAACACTGTGGCCTCAAGGCAAAATTTCTTTTTTCTAGTGTGGCAGTCAATGTGTTAAAAAGTTTTGCTTGTTGTTTCTTACCAATAACTTCTATTGAAATTCTTTCAAACCAACTCTCCTTTCAGAATCTTTTATGTCAAATTTGTGCTCAACAGGAGCCAGCTTAATTTAAAAATCTACATACAATAAATGTAGATGTACCTTTTGTGGGGAGGGAGGTTCTCACTATATGTTAATTGTTTTCTTTCTTTTTTGATTATAGGAGAATTCGAGACTCCTTCAAGAGCGTGGTGTGGCCTATATTAATGCTGATTCTTCTATAGAAGGTGAAATACTTGTCTCATAAAAAGATATGCAATTATACTAGAAGCAGCAGTTTAGTTCATAAATTATGCATCAGCAAGGAAGATGGTCCATTAACATGTGGGTTAGGGAATCTGGTGCTGTTTTGTCAGGCTGTTTGCAGCAGTATGTGAGCCCTAGCTGAGAGACTAGTTTTTTGTCGTTGTGGTTGTTTTTGCTTTGCACTGACTCAGGAAAGCAGCATTCTTTGATTAGCTTCATCTGGCAGATTATCTTATATATGGCAGGAATTTAGGAAATAACTGTTGAATTAATATGTCATGACCTAAACATTTCTATGATTTAGAATGGGGTAGAAAAAAGTATTATTTCAATTTAACCCCAAGTTTCATCATAATGTCATGCATACAAATTTTGAAAAAAACTGATTTTCAATATTTTCTCTTTCAAAATTAAGTGTTCGTGTTTTTAAGTGTTTCCATCAATTCAACTAATATTTGCTGAGCGCCTCTGTGTGCAATGTACTTTTCTGGGGATTGAGAAGAGTCAGAGGCTAGTAAGGAATGGTCTTATGCTCGGGAGTTTATGGCTCAGTATAGATGGTAAAATAAATCAGTCTTAGATTATATGTACAGGTACTATAAGAGGGATACAATCAAACTTCTCTGGGAGTTCAGAGGAGAGAATAATAGCAACTTCAGGAAAAGCTTAAGAAATGGGATAAGCATTTGATGAGGTAGGCCTTGAAGAGTGGATGTGCTTTTAATAAGCAAAGTGTCAAGCCAGAGGACATCCCAGGTTGATTTCCATGAAAATTAAACAGCCCACTGTCGCTACACTCCAGCCCCAGTAATCTTTCTATTCCACGGCCATGTGCAACATCCCAGCCATCGCAACTGCTGTTCTCTGTACTCAGATTGCTCTTCAGTACTTCTCCACCTGTTTAATTCTTACTCTTATAGCTTCATCTGAAATGTTTCTTTTTCAGAGAAGCCATATCTTCATAGCATTCATCACTGACACTATTAAATAATTTTTTGTTTCACAAACTGCCTATCTCAATAGACTGTGCTATTTAGCAAGGAAAAGACAGTATCTTCTTGCACGTTCATTCCTAGATTCCTAATATCTTATTAGATAAATAATTTGTGGCCTGGATGCAAAAAAGTGAAGGAATAAATTAATGAAGGGTGGCCTTAGAATATTTTCTTTAGTGTATTAGTCAATTTGCCATGTCAACAATTGGGACATGGTACCTTGAGTTAGTTGGCATTTACATTTTCTTCTCTGTCCTGAGCTGCATTGTCCCAAAGTTAGTTTACACCGTGGATTTCAGTTATCCTTTCCTCCTTCTCTTAGGTTAGTGGCTAAGGGCCTGGCCTTTGATATCATACTGCCTGGATTTATTCCTAGCCCTGCCACTTCCTGTTGTATGACCTCGGGTTGTTGCTTACTTTCTGTGTCTCGGTTTTCTCACCTCTAGAGTTACTGAGAGTACCCATCCCAAATGCTCTGGGAAGGGCAAGTGGAGTTAATATTTGCAAAGCTCTCTTGTACAAAGTAAATGTTCAAAACTGTTATTCTTATTTAAAACACTTAATCAGATGAAACGTACTCAGGATAAATACTCCAAACATATATTATTTAAATGTAGAATAATATTCTCTTTATTGCTAGTTTTTTAAGATTAGATTTTTCATGTATTTTTTAAAAAATAATTGTGTTTTCCTGATTATGTCATTCCCTGGCTTGAAATGCTCCATTGTGTCCCCATAATTTTCAAAGTCAAGAATAAAGGACACATAAGGTATTATATGATTAGGACATCATTTATCTCACTTTGTTTTATTTAAAATATTATTAATTGTACATTTCTCAAATTATACAGTAAATTATATATTCTTGAATTTCTTAGGTTAAAATGCACAATTGATCAATAAAGCAAAACTCCCCACACAAACTACTCTCAAACTTAATCCCCTCTCCAAAGGTACTATTGTCCTCAGTTTGGGGTGTTTCCATCATGTTGACATTCATTTGTAGAATTTAGCTCACACAAGGCACCAACAGTGTAGCAGGTGCTGTTTAAGGTTTTTCTTTTTCTTTTTCTTTTTTTTTTTTTCAGACAAAGTCTCACTCTGTTGCCTGGGCTAGAGTACTGTGGCATCAGCCTGGCTCACAGCAACCTCAAACTCCTGAGCTCAAGCCATCTTCCTGCTTCAGCCTCCCGAGTAGCTGGAACTACAGGCATGGGCCACCATGCCTGGCTAATTTTTTCCATGTTTTTAGTTGTCCACTAATTTCTTTCTATTTTTTTAGTAGAGACAGGGTCTTGCTCTTGCTCAGGCTGTGTCGAACCCCTTAGCTCAAATGATCCTCCTGCCTCAGCCTCCCAGAGTGCTAGGATTACAGGCGTGAGCCACCACACCTGGCCAGGGTTTTTCATTAAAAAAAAATTATCCGATAACCCTGGGAGGTAAGTACTTTTATCATCTCTGTTGTATAGAAAAGGAAACAGACTCTGAGGAGTTAAGTAACTTTCTCAAGGCTATGTAAGCTGGTGATGGGTTGACCTTGGACTCAATAGAGTATAATGGTTAGAAAAATAAAAGTTTGCCTCTCACTACCTTATATAGGTTTTTGGTATAATATTATAGCTAACTTGTTCTACAGCTTACCTTTTTCATTTAGCAACATATTATGGGAGACTTTCCATGTTAGTACACATTGATCTACTTCACTTAAAAAAACAAAAACAGCTGAGCGCAGTGATGCACACCTGTAGTCTCAGCTACTCGGGAGGCTGAGGCAGGAGAATCTTGTAAGCCCAGGAGCTTGAGGCCAGCCTGGGCACGGCATAGTGAGACCCTGTCTCTAAAAACAAAACAAAACAAAAAACATCAACAACAACAGCAAAAAACTTCTATGTATTCAATAGGACAATTTATGTATCAATTCTTTGATGGTCAGATTGTTTCAGTTTGTTGCAGTAAATAGCCCTTTATTTGTCTGCCTTTTCTGTATGAAATGAGGGGAGGTTAGAGAGCTACAAATGTAATTATTTGGTCCTGGGAGATGGGCATTTAAATTGTAATAAATGCTACTAAATCACCCTCCTTTTCCAATTTACATTCTTGTAAGCACTTCTTCTGTTTTAAAAATTGCATTGGGGCCAGGCGTGGTGGCTCACGCCTGTAATCCTAGCACTCTGGGAGGCCAAGGTGGGCGGATTGCTCAAGGTCAGGAGTTCAAAATCAGCCTGAGCAAGAGGGAGACCCCCGTCTCTACTAAAAATACAAAGAAATTAATTCACCAGCTAAAAATATATATAGAAAAAATTAGTCAGGCATGGTGGTGAATGCCTGTAGTCCTGGCTACTTGGGAGGCTGAGACAGGACGATTGTCTGAGCCCAGAAGTTTGAGGTTGCTGTGAGCTAGGCTGTTGCCATGGCACCGTAGCCCAGACAATAGAGTGAAACTCTGTCTCAAAAAAATAAATAAATAAATAAAAATTGCATTGGTTATTTGTGCATATTTATTCTTCCAGGTGAATCTTAGAATTTCTAAATTAACTTTTCAAGTTCTATAAATAATTCTGCTGTCATTATTCTGGTGTCATTATTTTTAAAGCCTCAATTTTTGCTGTCCCCAGACAGATCTTAAGCTTTGGGATAAAAACTATGCCATCCTCTGAGTGTACTGTGTGCTTTTTTACATTCCTGGGCGTTTGTACAGGCTGTGCCCTTCGCTGCCAATGCCATTTTTTTTCAGCCCAGCTGTCTCCCTTTAGTTCTAGAAAACTCAGTTCAAGAATCTCCCCAATCCTTGGTGAAGTTGCCTTGAGTGCCCCTCCCCGAGCCCCCTCCTAAGTGTTGCCAAGAACACCTCTTCTGACTGCTTCACTCCACTCTCACGCCTACCAGCCGCTGAACTCCTGAGAAACGGGGGCTCCATTCAGCACTAACTGAAGAGCACCTGGCTCGCAAATTCATTTTTACAACAAATATTTATTGTCTGGATGCTAAATACTAAGGCTGTTCTAAGCACTGGGGATTCGGCAGCAAATAAAAGAGAACACCTGTTCCCATGGGACTTACAGTCTATTGGGGGAAGGGGATAAAAAGACAAGTACTTAATAGTTTAGGTAGATGAGTAATATGGAGGAAAATGAGTCAAGGTTAAGACAGAAAGGGAGTGGCTGGCATGGTGGTGGGAGAGTGCTGGTGTAGGTAGAGTGGTCAGGTGAAACTTCTCAGAAGGCATGGTATTAGACCAGAGGAGGTCATACAGATACTATGCAGAATACTATTTCAGGCTGATGGAACAGTGTGTGCAAAGACCCTGAGGGTGTATTCTTGGGCAAAGCAGGAGATGAAGATTTGGAGAGGTGACCTGGGATTGTTTTCTATATTGGCACTGTGTTCCATGCATCGTAAGGATGCCAGGTTTTACAAAGTTAGATGGGGAGCTGTTGGCAAATTCGAATTGAATTGTTAGGGTGGGGACCTCATGAGGAACTCACAGCGTGGGTTAGAGAAAGATTTCTCAGACAGTCAATAGGATATACAGAAGTAAAAAGTATATTTATTTTCCCGAGAAAGAGGGGGAGAGAGAGGGACGGAGGCCATGACACAGAGAAGTAGGAAAGAAATATTAGGCAGCAAGGAAAGTTGCTTGGTGCTTTTAAGGGTAGAAATGAATTTTGTTCTTCTTTTTCACCAGACTGATAAAAGCAGCTGTAGAACAGCAGTTTTTGCTTTTTCTTTCTTTCTTTTTTTCCTTTTACCCTTTCTCTGTGAAACCAGCTTATCTGAGTCTTTGAACTCTGGGGAGAGTTGAGGCAGATATCTGGAGTAGATAGCTCATACCTCTACTGTCTGTTTAGGGCTCTTCAAGGCTGAGAAAATGAAGTCTTAGATATGACAAGTTAGGCCACACGTGTACTTAAACGAAGGGTAGTTGTGTTGTGAGTTTTATTTCTCTTATTGACTTTTTTTTTTTAAATTTTCCTCTGTTTGATAGGTTATTATTAAGGCCACCATTTATGAATTTAAATTTTAAAAGGATCATTCTAGCTAAGGAGTCTTTGAATAAAACAATATGAGAAAGAAGCAAAATATAAAACAATCTGTCCTTTCCTTATCTTTCAGGAAACTACACTCTGAGAGTTGACTGTACACCACTTATGTACAGCTTGGTATACAACCTAACAAAAGAGGTAAAAATAATTACATATAATTTAAGAAAATCTAAATTCTACAAATATGTTTTCTTGAGGTGCTATTATTATGTGAAACATTGGTGTTGTTTTACAACGCGTCGTCTTTATTTCATATAACAGATATTCACTCCTTAGAACATCACATTTAATGAACTGTTTAAAACACTTATTACCTCTTTTTTCCCTACACTTATGTGAGGCATCTTCTGGGTGACATTATGTCCGTCTCCATTTTGAAAATGAGGAAACTGAGCTCAAAGAACACCAGCCACCAAAGTTATACAACTTATCCAGTCACTGAACCAAGACTTGGTCCTATGGTTTAACTCCTTAATTTTAAAACTCATTTATAGACCCTAATGCAGTGATACCAACTAATCCAGGACACAAAACGAGTTAAAGGTTCTAACTGAGAAAGAGTATGCAGAAAACTACCAATGGCTGATTTTCAGGGGCAAACCAGTTTGGGGCAGAGGCTAAGTGAGACTGTGAGGTTCATCCATCTGTGTGGATGTTCCCTGGTCCCCTGGTTCCCAGTGTCAAGAATGCATACTGGTACCGAGCTGACCTAATAACGGAGTGATTGCAAACACAGAGCAATTTTATACAAACAGGTTATTACATTAAAGGAAGAATGGAAGTAAAGAAGGAAGCTACACACAGTGAAAATATTCTAGAGAGAGTGGAAAGGGTTTCCACTAGTCTAAGCACAGGTGCATTTTATAAGCCCACTAGTTTGTCTTGCCTTTCTCCTGGCAAGATTGGCTGTCATTTCCTGCCTTTGGGGGTGATTGACAAGTTGATGTTACACAACAGGTTGGTTATGTAACAGTTTCCCCTTCCGCACATGCCTCTTCCCCAGAATTCTCCAGGAGGCGAAGCTCCATCCATGTTTTGCTAATCAGATGGTAATGAGCTCTATGTCAGTTAAAGGTTACTAGGAGCTTTTTACTATGTATGTTCCCACCAGGAAACAGTTCCCATCTGCAATTTGGTTCCTACGTACAATTCAGTTCCCGCTCTCTGCCATTCGCAACTTCCTTGCCACCTGTTTACCCTCCACCAGACCTAAGGAGACCCCGTAGCTCCTTTCCCAACTTTTTGCCTCAGTCTCTAACCTCTAGTCCCACTGGGCCTGGCTGTTAATTCTCCCAAAGGAGATACTGAACCTGGCTGAGAGGTGGTGCCTGAATTCCTATAGGATTGACAGGCAGCTCTTTACTTTAATTCTCTTGTTTCAAAAATTCACTGGTCATGGTCCAAAGTTAGTGAGAGTGAAGGAGTTTTTGCACAGTAGATTTTTGGTACTGCTAATTGTCTAGAACTGACCTGAACTGAACTGGAAAGAAAAGAAAACAAAAAACCCAAAACGCTGTTCATTTATTAATAATAGAATTACCAGTTAAAATGTAATTATCAAGAAAAACACAATTATTTTCCTTCAGATAGGGATTATAAATAAAATCTAAATGCCATTAAGCTTTGGTTCAAAAGCATGGAATTTCATTATATACATTAACTCCCCCTATAGGAATATAAAAAAAATTTGAAAATATCAAGTGATCTAGTTAAAGAGGTTCATTATTTGCTTGCAATTTTATCAATTACCATCCAACATATAAAATTTAAATATCTGAAACATGGTATTGCAGAAAATTGCCAGTATTCATAATTTTGCTTTATTTGTATTTTACAAATTAAGTTGACATAACTTCTGACTCTCCTCATGTTTATACAAATTTAATTTGTGTTCCCAAAGACCTCTGAACATATATCTGTTATAGCACCCACCACATTTAATTCCATATTTTTGTTTATAATTCCCACTAGTAGAGAGTATGCTGTGTGTCTTATTGTTCTCTGTATCCCTGGCATCTACAAAAAGTCTTAAACAATATAGGTACTCTGTAAACTTTTTGAATTGAATTTGTTGGGAAATACTACATATGAATTTTATTAAATATAAAGTAAAAACATCCTATACCATATATTTTTCATTGACATTTAAATAATTATGGGATGTTAATTAATTTAGTTTGCTAAAAATTTTGGCACAATATCTAATACTCTTAGTCTAGAATTCAATAATAGATCATATTTTACTCTCTTAGTTTTCTTATCTGCAAAATATTTTTCAGTGCTTAACACAATTACAGTAAATTGTCAGTTAAATATTAATAATTACATTTTTATTATGTATTATTTAATGACTTTGGCAACTTTACTGACAAGAAGCCATGTTAAAATGAATGCTGTACCTTAACCAGCTTGCTTCTTTTTATTTTATTTCTAAGAGGAGGAGAAATACATAGTTTTCAGAGTAGTCTCCTTCAACTCAGAAACATAGACCAAAAAAAATCATACAATATGACCATTCATATAAAGACAAAGGCTTGGTCCTAATTTGGTGTAGCCTCTTTATTTTTCTATGCACTTCATGCATTTACTTTTATAATGTAGTTGTGCCTAAACATAACAACATGAGCATTTTTCCATATTGCCATAAACTCATTATTGTAATTCTTAATAACTGCTAATGTATGGATTGCATCCCTGTGTTGCTGAATCATAGTTTAGCTATTCACTTCCTGATTAATGAACATTTTGTTTTTAATACAACTAATTTATAAGTATTCTTTTTTTTTTTTTCCTTTCAATTTGTGTAGCTGCAAAGCCCCGATGAAGGCTTTGAAGACAAATCTCTTTATCAGAGCTGGAGTGAAAAAAGTCCTTCTCCTGAGTTGAGTGGCATGCCCAGGTAAACAAACAAACAAAACCAAAACTTTCCACTGAACTGAGTGTGGGATTATTTTGAAAATAAAAGGGTATTTTCTTTCAGTCATTAATTTAAAACATTAATTTCAAAATACTCTAAAATCTGATAAAGGAAAAGCATTGCTTAGCTTCACAAATAAAATATTACTGTGTGTTTTGAAGTTAAATCTGTAGATCATCAAAAGATGATTGTCTTTAGAATAAGTAATATATACACATGGCACATTGAAGAAAATGTTATACAGCTTGAATATCCTTTCTCTGAAATGCATGGGGCCAGGAGGGTTTCAGATTTCAGATTTTTTTTCAGATTTTGCAATATTTGCATTATACTTACTGGTTGAGCCTCCCTAATCTGAAAATCTGAAATTTGAAATGCATCAATGAGCATTTCCTTTGAGCATCATGTTGGTGTTCAAACACTTTTGAGTTTGGGAGCTTTTTAGATTAAAGATACTCAACCTGTAATGGAGATAATGGTGAAAAGTAATTCCCCTCATATTTCTGTCCTATCTTCACCCTGTCATTATTCTTTTTTCCGATTGTAGACTTAACACATATTTTGTTTACTCTAATAAAAATGTAAGCATCCCTTCAACATTGGTTATATCTTCACAAGAAAAGGAAGAAGAATAAATATCTCGATAGTCAGAGATTATAGATGCCAACAGCATGTGTAATTTAAATTCTTAGAGGCAGGATTTATGTCTGAATTACCTGGAAAATTATTGCTTCTTTTCATTGTATCGTGTCACAAATAAATATAAGTAGGATGAAGTAATTTAAAGAAACTGTTTTCCAACTTCAGAAATCTTTTTTAAAATGTGACTTATAAAATAGTCACCCCTATACCAAATAGTCTCAAATAAGTAGATTTTTTTTGGTTAGAATTAATAGTCCTTTCATTTTTTTTTTTTTTTGCTGCATGTCTAAGGCTTTCCATTTAAAAAATGTATTTATAATAGTAAGAATGGAGTTTAGTTTCATTGCTCTTTAATGTGCATTTGATGAAGAAATTACTCTCACATAATTCTGTTATTTTACCTCTAAAAGGATTAGCAAATTGGGATCAGGTAATGATTTTGAGGTGTTCTTCCAAAGACTTGGAATTGCTTCAGGCAGAGCACGATATACTAAAAATTGGGTAAGTATATCTCAATAAACATTTCAAGATTATTTATTAATATATTTTAACTAACCAAATAATTCTGAGTCCAAAAAAATGACTCAAGCATTAGAGGAATAGAGGAATTTGAGATAAGAAGGGAGAAATCTCTGTGGTTGATGGTGCTACCACCACTTGGGATAGTTCCTGAATCTATTATCCTGAGCCCTGTATTCAAGTGTCAGCTGGTATCAGTGCTCAGGTCTGCAAACTTGAACTTCCATGTACTCCCTTAAACATATTTGCTGTTTTATTTGGTGGCAGTGTATTCACTTAGTTGTATAAGTTAGAAATGTAAGAATTGTCTTGACCCTACTCTCCCCATTATCATTAAAAATTAATCAGTATCAAGTCCTGCAAATATTTGGATTTTTATCTCTTATTATATATCTAATCATTAAACAGATAATAAATCATTAAATAAATGGCAAAATACACTGTGAAAACAAAAAAAGTCATGATTCCTTTTCTTTCATTGTTGATTTTTTTTTAGTTTTCATTTCCATCAAAATAACATAAATACATAGTTTATAAAATCTCAAGTAGTCCTAGAAAAGATTATAATTAAAAGCAATGGTTTCTTATCCCATTTTCATGCTCATTCCACCTCTGATCTCTGTTCATCAGATGAAAACTCTTTCAGCTTTTTAAAATTGGTGTCTTCTGATACCTACCTCCATGTTCGTAAACAATATGCTTATGCTGCTACTTCTTCATTTTTCAGTTTCATGTTGTTAAAAACACTTGACACTTGTTAAAATGGTAAAGAAGACTATTAAAAACTATTGCAATAGAGGAAAGAGATTGGGTTCAACTCCAAATACAGCAAAGACAGCTGGGGATTTACAGCTAACATTAAATTATCTATAGGTCTCTTCTTTGGGGCTTGTTCTTCCCAGATAGACAATCTTTAATCTTCTGCTATTGGGGTAGGAAATTAAGCTGAGTGTTTTGGGAAAATCCTGGGACAGTATAGAAAAACGACACTTCCCCTCTCCAACTGAGATGGAGCACAGGACCAAAGAATGACTCAGACAAGTCCAGCTTGGTGAGTTAGATGAGTTTATTAGAGGTTACTTAGAGAGGTACTTATTCCTAGTCGACCCAGGGATCCTGCTGGCACTCACTCTTGGACAGCAGCAGAAGTTCTTCAGAGAATGGAGTCCATACTACCTAACGGTGGTGTCACCTTAGAACCCTTCCCAGGGAGTGATGACAGCTCTTGCACTGTATCATCACGTGATCTCACTGAAACAAATCAAGCATGCATGCCCAGTACGATTATCATGAGCCATCATATAATCTATGTTATGTTAATGAAATTATAATTCTCCACAAGGTGGAAATTTTAGTACTACAATTAACTAAAGGGTATTATTGATCAGCTAAAGCAGTTCTAAAGCAGTCAGGGCCGGTTTACACCGGTTGCTTCTGCCTCCAGAAAGTGCTGATGCACATCTCTTGTGCCTGGCATTTGCGCTTAATCTGTTTTGTAACAATTTTGTTGAGCACTCCAAGCTAGCACAGCTCAGTGTTTCTTTGTGTGCTCAGTAACTTGCTTTTTTCCCTTACAGGGTTATATGTGGGTAGTGATGAGGGTGGATAGTATTATTATCTACAATTCACTTGCGAGAAAAGTATAGCAAAGATCAAGTTACCACTCATAGTTTTTGGTAATAAGTCCTGAAGCCTAGATTCAAACCCTGGCAGGCTAATTCCAGGATCCTAGTCTCTTCAACACACCACTATATAAAGTGTTCTTTTACATCAGCAACAAAAAAATAAGCACCTTAAGAAATGCTCAAAAGTCATAAATCAGCAGTTCACACTTTGAAAAATCCTTCCTGTTTGCCTTTTACGTGTGCTCTTCATTTTCCTTATGCCTGTCCTGAGCATCCTTTTTCTCTCTCTAGTGAGATTTAGTGTCCGATACTGAACCCCTCATGCTCACTCTCCACTCTTCAGCACGCTGCTGTTGTCAAAACCGCAAGGGGGTTTTGGTCTAGGTCTAGTTGCTCATTTCACAAAAATCCAATTATTGAGAAAATGAGGATTGCCAAGGAACAAAGGAATCTTTAATACGACAGATGTCTTGTCAGGAGAACAAGAGAAGCTGCCTCAAATCTGTCTATCTGACCAAGGGATAGTAGGAGCTTTTAAAAGAGGGGTCACATACCTTGGGTTGGGCCGTGGTGTATCTCACAAGGGGCTACCTGAATTGGGAGCAGGTTGTGGGGGGTGGTGGATCTTGGTGTCAGGAAGTCTGTCCTGGGGCCTTTAGAATCTCAACTCTTTCTTTCCCCTCCAAATTATGTCCATTTATTATTAAAAAGCAGGTAGAAATAACAGTCTGAGGCTACATATTGTGATGACTTCATATAATTTTGAAATATTTGTGGCTTCTCATTATTTTGTCTGTATCATTCTAATTTTTCCTTATTTTTTTAATTTCAAAATATTAAGAGAGTACAAATGTTTCTGTTACATGGGTGCCTTTTATAATGCTTAAGTCAGGGCTTTTAGCATGCCTATCACTCAATCGTGTTCATTGTACCCAATAGGTAGATTTTTTACCCCTCTCCTCCTCCCCATTCTTGATTTCCAATGATCCTTAAATATCTTTGTGCCCATGTGTACCCATTGATTAGCTCCCAATTATTAGAGAGTACATGTGGTGTTTGTTTTTCCATTCCTGAGATACTTCACTTAGGATAATGGTCTCCAGTTCCATCCAAGTTGCTGCAACAGACATTATTCCATTCCTTTTTACGGCTGAGTAGTATTTCATGTTAAATATATGTCACATTTTCCTAATCCGCTCATGAACTTATGGGCACTTTTGTTGATTCCACATCTTTGCAATTGTGAATTGTGCTATGATAAACATGCGAGGGCAGGTGTCTTCTTGATAAAATGACCTCTTTTCCTTTGGGTACATACCCAATAGTGGGATAGCTGGATCAAATGGTAAGTCTATATTTATTTCTTTGAGGAATCTCCATAATGTTTTCCATAGAGGTTGTACTAATTTGTAGTCCCATCAACAGTATATAAGCATTCCTTTCTCTCTGCATCCACAACAGCATCTACCGTGTCTTGACTTTTTAGTAACCAATTCTGACAGGGTTATGGTGATATCTCATTGTGTTTTTAATTTGCATTTCCCTGATAATTAGTGATATTGAGCATTTTTTTATGTTTGTTGGCCATTTGTCTATCTTCTTTTGAAAAACTTCTGCTCATGTCTTTTGCCCACTTTTTAATAGGGTGGTTTGTTTTTATCTTGCTGATTTGTTTGATATCTTTGTAGATTCTGAATATTAGCCCTTTATCATATGTATAGTTTGCAAATATTTTCTCCCATTCTGTAGGTTGTCTGCTTACTCTGTTGATTATTTCCTCAGCTTTGCAGAGCTTTTTAATTTAATCAAGTCTCCTTTGTTTATTTTTATTGTTGCTATATTTGCTTTTAGAATCTTAATTATAAATTCTTTGCCTTGACTGATGTCTATAATAATTTTTCCTGTTTATTTCTAGAATTTTTATGGTTTCATGGCTTACATTTAAGTCTTTCATTTTGTCTTGTAGAAAATTCATCATTTTAAGCCAGGTGTGGTGGCTCACACCTATAATCCCAACACTTTGGGAGGCTGAGGTGGGAAGATCACTTGAGGTCAGGAGTTCAAGTCCATCATTTTGACTCAACTCAAAGAGTCAAATAGTTAAGGGAAATATAAAAATACATATAGGGGTTCATGGAGCCGGTTACACTGCTTGTCAGAGAATCATTTATCCATGGAATTTTAGTGATTAAACAATTTAGTGTACTCCCCTGTATAATATTATGTAATGCTTATTTACTTGCCTCTAACAATTCTCTATCTTCTTAAATTATTTTTACTCAAATATAACATTGATTGTGTTTGATTTTTCTTTCTGATTCCTAAACACATTTCCACATCTCTTATATTCTCAAAGGCAAGCCTGCTAGATGTTTTCAAAAGAATTTTCTAATAATATTATTTATATAATATACACATATATTTTAATTGGTACCAACCTGAAGTGTGCTTAAATATTATAATATTAGCTTTAAGTAAGTAGCTTATCGAAGTGCTTAAATACTTTCCTTTATCATTGAGCAAGAATTCTTGCTAATATTAGTAGTAAATATTGTGCTATCCATTTTATCATAAGCTGTCTTACCAGATATATATTTTATGTTTTGTAGGAAACGAATAAATTCAGCAGCTATCCACTGTATCACAGTGTCTATGAAACATATGAGTTGGTGGAAAAATTTTATGATCCAACATTTAAATATCACCTCACTGTGGCCCAGGTTCGAGGAGGGATGGTGTTTGAACTAGCCAATTCCGTAGTGCTCCCTTTTGATTGTCAAGATTATGCTGTAGTTTTAAGAAAGTATGCTGACAAAATCTACAATATTTCAATGAAACATCCACAGGAAATGAAAACATACAATGTATCATTTGGTATGTTACCTTCCTCTTTTAAAATTCATCATCTGTATGTTTTTATTCATCCCTAAAATGTAATCACCTAGTTTAGGTCACTTATTTATTACTATTCTAAATGATCTAATATTCTTTTTATGTTTAAAAATGCATTTTCCATTTCATAAATGGTCACATCTTATACAAAATATAAATATCTGTAAAACACAAAGTAAGATGATTTCTATATTGTTCCGTTTTCTTGAACTATAGAACAATGTCATTAGAATTATGTTCTTAAAGCTTTTGATGATCTCAATTTCTTTTTCAGATTCACTTTTTTCTGCAGTGAAGAATTTTACAGAAATGCTTCTAAGTTCAGCAAGCAACTCCAAGACTTTGACAAAAGCAAGTATGTTCTGTATATATGTTATGTATATAATAGATATAATTGAAAGAAAATACTAATTGACATTGTTGTTGCTGAAATAAGGAAAGATGTTTGCTGTTTTCTGTCTCTCCACTCTAACCCCCCTGTCTCTCAAAGACCTATTTCTGACATTCTGAGTGGGAACTGAGCTGCTCAGAAGTGCTTCCCATAGCCAACTAACTGATTAGTTACAATATACTGCCCTTAACATTGAAGGTCCTCCGAGTATTACATGTTTTTTTTTTCCAGTTTTATCTCTTGTTCTTGCAGTATATGTACATCATACTTTAGCCAAATTCTGTTAAAGTATTACCTCTGCATAGAGTTCCTCATTTCCACTTCCATCTGGTAAAATGCTATTAATATTTATCCAGAATAATAAATATAGTGAAGCCATAATATTTTTGGAAATGTGATACTTTTAGTATTAATTCTGTATAAAATCACAAAAGTAAAAACGTAATTTGAACAAAATTTTAAGGTGGAAGAAAAATATGTGACAATATTGAAGAAAATGTTTTAAAAGTAGAATTTTGAGGGTAAACATCTGTGTATTAAGCATAGTATCTGACCTAAGTATCATGTCCTTGGGAACTAAGGTCAGAATACATAGAAGGGTAAGAATAGATGATCCAGAAATAAGCTTAGTGACATATAAACAAGTATTTGTAATTAATGAAGGACACAGCAAAAATCAATGGGAAAAGGAAGAATCATTCAATGATAATATTGTATAAGCTCTTTTAGCAGCTGATAAAAAAGCAAATTCAGAATTTCACTTCACATTGTGTGCAAACATAAACAAATAGTGTACAAGAATTATTTATTAAAAAATGGAAATTTCTTGTAGATCACAAAGATTCCTAAAAAAAAAAAAAATGGAAATTTCTTGAAAAAGAAATGCCAAGTTTAGAAGCAATGGGTCTCTCCATGTTGGGTGTAAAAGAAATGAACAAGAGAAAAAAATTTTTTTAAAAAAAGAAAAAAATATATGAATAGAAGCAATGGGGAAATAATTTTTGAAAATCCCCCAAATCCAAAAGAATAAATTGGAACTATGAGCAATAGATAAGACAAATAACTCAAAAAAAATTTTATCAAAGATGCCACCCATAAGGAAACACATAGCAAAATATTCCAGTTCACTAAAACATAATTCAAAAATACAAATGAAAAATTTTTAATATCAAGCTAATAACAGTTTAAAACTTTGTCATGCCCATTGCTATAGTCAGTACATTGAAGCAGATGCTCTCATGTTTTTCTGATAGCGTTGTGAAATATTTTAACCTTTTTACAAAAGGTAAATATATATTGGCAAAAGTTCAAGAGTCATCATAGTATTCTTATACTTTGACATAGTATTTTCATTTCTTGGATTTTTTCTTAAGGAAAGTCTCAATTTGGGAAAATAAGAGACTGCTCAGAAAAACATGTGACTTATAAAATTATAATAGCAAATAATTCAAAACAACCTAATACCTAAGACAAATTATTTTTAAAAAGTGATATCTACCAATTTGAATATTTTGTAACAATTAAAATTGATCATAAATACAATATAAGATACTTAAAATATGTTGTAAGCAAAAAGGTTATAAAATTATAAATATAGTTTGATTAATTTTTATTGACAAACATAGAGAAAAACTTAAAGGGAGCAAACCAATTAGTATAATAATTGTGTTATCCTGAGGGGAGAATTGTTTTCTTATCTTTTAAATTCTTTTCAAATGTTTTATGTTAGGAAAAAAAATTAACAATGGGACATACATTTTAAGTAGTTATCAACACTATATATTCTATGAAGTTGATTTTCTATCTTTAAAAAACAAATGTTTTCCCCCTCAAGACAAACTGCCTCATGATTTGAATTGTGGCTTTCTTAGGACATTCAGCATTCCCTTCCTTGAGTATTTCTGTATTTATCTTATCTTCTCTAAATGATAGTTAAAAATATAGTTTGTGCCGGGCGCGGTGGCTCACGCCTGTAATCCTAGCACTCTGGGAGGCTGAGGCGGGCGGATTGCTCGAGGTCAGGAGTTCAAAACCAGCCTGAGCAAGAGCAAGACCCCGTCTCTACTATAAATAGAAAGAAATTAATTGGCAACTAATGTATATATATATTAAAATTAGCCGGGCATGGTGGCGCATGCCTGTAGTCCCAGCTACTCGGGAGGCTGAGGCAGAAGGATTGCTTGAGCCCAAGAGTTTGACGTTGCTGTGAGCTAGGCTGACGCACGGCACTCACTCTAGCCTGGCAACAAGCGAGACCTGCTGCTCAAAAAAAAAAAAAAAAAATAGTTTGTATCTCTGTATGATGTTGACAAATCCTGAAACACCTGAGCAGGGCATTGCACATACTACTAATAAAGTAATGCTGGCTAATAAATTAAACTGGATGTAGAATTTCTCACCTAAGGGAGAGACTACTTTTTTTTTTTTTTTTTTTGAGACAGAGTCTCACTCTGTTGCCCCAGCTAGAGTGCAGTGGCATCATCATAGCTCATTGCAACCTCAAACTCCTGGGCTCAAGCCATCCTCCTGCCTTGGCCTTTAGGGTAGCTAGGACTACAGGTGCAAACCACCATGCCCGGCTTTTTAAAACTTTCTTATAGAGACAGGGTCTCGCTTAGGCTGGTCTCAAACTCCTGAGCTCAAGCAATCCTCCTGCCTCAGCCCCTCAAAATACTACAATTACAGGCATGAGCCACCACACTTGGCCGAGAGAAACATTTTTTATTTTTTTTTGAGACAGAATCTCACTCTGTTGCCCAGGCTAGAGTGCCATGGCATCATCCTAGCTCACAGCAACCTCAAACTCCTCGGCTCAAGCAATCCTCCTGCTTCAGCCTCCCGAGTAGTTGGGACTACAGGCATGCGCCACCATGCCTGGCTAAATTTTTCTATATATTTTTAGTTGGCCAATTAATTTCTTTCTATTTTTAGTAGAGACAAGAATCTCGCTCTTGCTCAGGCTGGTTTCGAACTCCTGACCTTGAGTGATCCTCCCACTTTGGCCTCCCAGAGTGCTAGGATTACAGGCGTGAGCCACCACGCCTGGCCTAAAAGAGACAATTCTTAATCCTGCCTTTCTTGTATCAATCCCTTGCCCAACCGAAGGATATAGGGTATTGACTCCTCGGTATCTTCATACTCACATAGTAGTCAATCTTAAGACCTATGGTTTTCCAGTCATTCCTAAGGAGACCAATATGCTTCAGGAGTGAAAAGATTCTGTTCACTTAACTCTAGTGCTGTGAGCATGCTGAGTGACATTCCAGAGTTACTTCAAATTGAACTCTGTTCTGTATGAGGATCACTCTGTATAAGGGTTTTTAGTTGTTAGCCGCAGGATTAGAAGTAGAGAGAGAAAGAGAGGGAGGAAGGAATGGAGGCAGTGGGGGAGGGGGAGAGAAGGGTGTTTGTGCATTTACGCGTGTGTAGCCACATGAATTTTTGTATTTGTAGCAATGTTTTGTGAATTTGATTCAGAAACCCATAGCATCTTACTGAATTGTCTTTCATATAATTGTCTCATCTGTTTATGTGAACTGCTAACAGGTAAGTCTGTCTCATTTACCTTTTTAATGTCACAAAACCTGATTCTATGATTCTAAATAAATAAATTTTGAAAATTGCTCAAGTCCAAATTATTGGGACTTTAGTTATTCCTATTTTCTTTTTGTCAACACAGTGCAATTGAACAATAAGAACAGTACTGACAACCTATTTCACTCTAGAACTTTCTACTGTCAACTGGGCAAGTTATTTCACTACCAATGCTTAGTCTATACAATGGGGCTATTATTGCCCTGTCCAACTTACAGGATTGCTCTGAAGATTAAAAATAACCAATTATATAAACATTCAAAACAGAAATTGGTATTTAGGAATTGATCTCCAAATACATATTATTAAAACTAAATTATAAAAAATAAGAGCTAACTAAATGAATGAATAAAAGGATTTATTATACCTGTTGTAATGATCATCTCTCAGTTAATTAAATTATGAAAATTAGCATATTGAGTTCAGTAACTCATGGTTGAACTATTCGAGATTTGTTGGTGAATTTTCAATTACATTGAATCATTCTTATGATAACAATCCCAGCACCACCCATTGGAATGTGAGTTCTGTGAGAGTAGGGCATGTTTGACACATAGCAGGCATCCAAACATTGTTGAAAAAATGAAGTTAACATCAAGTCTTGTGTTTACGGAAGGTTATTTCTAATAATAGTGAGACTATTATTAGTCTTTACTTGGTAAATAGTTATAATTTGCCAGACATCTTACTAAACATTGGTAGATTATCTCATTTCAATATTAATAGTACTTCTATGAATAGCTTGTTAGCATATCTAAGGTAAAAAAAAGTCTTGTCTGTATTTATATACCTAGATTTATCAATTAATTATTATTTCAATAGAAATAAAAACTACTGTTGGTAAAAAAACAAAACAAACAAAAAAAAACTACTGTCATTTTCTTCCATTAGCACATGCAACTGTTTCTGGGTTTCATAAGCCTTAAGCAGAATGGTATTTTATAGGATTTTAAAATATGGTAATATATATGTCAGTGTTCTTAATTTGCATATTATAGAATTTAAAATATACAATTGACCCTTAAACAGCAGGGGTTTGAACTGCATAGGCCCACTAATCTTCAGATTTTTTTCAAATATAGTCAGTCCTCTGTACTGGTAGGTTCTCTCTCCGCAGGCAAACGTGGATAGAAAATACAGTATTCGCAGGATGTAAAACCCATCCATAGAGAGGGTTGACTTTTCCTATATGCAGATTCTGGAAGGCCCACTGTTGAACTTGGACTTGAGGACTTGAGCATGCTTGAATTTTGGTGTGGGGGAGGGGGTGGTCTTGGAACCAATCGCCTATGTATGCCAAGGGGTGACTGTACTAGTAAGTTTAGTTTTGTTCTGAATTATTACTTTGCTGAGTGGTACATACATTTTCATTAAGTTATAACTATACTCATTTCTTTTTTTAGCCCAATATTATTGAGAATTATCAATGATCAACTGATGTTTCTGGAACGAGCATTTATTGATCCTTTAGGGTTACCAGACAGGCCTTTCTATAGGTAAGAAAAAATATGACTCCTTGCTGTAATACCACTGTTTCTTATATTTTTGCACTGTGAAAAAATATCATAGTTGATTTCTCAAGAAAATACAAACTTTCAAAATATATATAGTAAATGATAAAATATTGTTTCTTTATATAATGTATTCATATGATTCTTGCATATTTTTGTTTTAATGTATGTTTACTTTAGGAAATTTAGAAGATTTAGAAAGGCATGACAGAAAATATAAATCTCCCAATCCCATCAACCAAATATAAAAATCATGTTTATTTTTTGTTATGTATAATTTCAGCCCTTTTTTCTTTACCTCTTTACTTTTGAGCTTGTCCTCTTCCAGGGCTATTACATGAACTGCTTAGCCCCTTAAATAAAAGTCTCTGCCGAGGTCATGCAGAACATTATAAAATTATTTGTCGTGATTCTTCATGCTTTCTGCTAAGCATTCTAAAATGTTAGTGTGACTACTTTTTTTTTTTTGAGACAGAGTCTCGCTCTGTTGCCCAGGCTAGAGTGCCTTGGTATCAGCCTAGCTCACAACAACCTCAAACTCCTAAGCTTAAGCGATCCTCCTGCCTCAGTCTCCCAAGTAGCTGGGACTACAGGCATGTGTCATGACGCCTGGCTAAGTTTTTCTGTTTTTAGTAGAGACGGGTCTCACTCTTGCTCAGGCTGGTCTCAACCTCCTGAGCTCAAGGATCCTCCCATCTCGGCCTCCCAGAGTGCTAGGATTACAGGTATGAGCTACCATGCTCGGCAGAGACTTTTTTTAAAACAAGAAAAAAAACTCAACAGAATATTCCTGGTCACAACTAGGACTTCAATGATCACAAGTGCTTTAACTCAGGGGATAGTATGGTGTAAGAAATCAGCACTTATTTGTAATGTGCCTGAGGCAAATAATTTAATCACTCTCTCAGACCTCAGCTTCCTCTTTTGTGTAATACTAATAACAAATTTCTAGAGTTTGTTTTTAAAGATAAAAAAAAAATTATGAATACCTTCTTTAATACTAAGCATGATCCTTAATAGGTACCCAGCTCTTAGTGCTATCATTGTTACCTATTAGGTACCTCTGAACCACTATCTGTTTGAAGTCAAAATATAATTAATACATATTTCATAGGCTTTGGAGAAAATTGAACTTGTTTAGTTGACACATGGCTTATTCAAATCATAAAATAAGGAATATACAATGCAGTAATTGTAGAGTACTCTTGTTTTTCTCTTATATATCAGTTGGACAACTAATAAACAGCAAACTGTTTTATCAATAGGCATATCATCTATGCTCCAAGCAGCCACAACAAGTATGCAGGGGAATCATTCCCAGGAATTTATGATGCTCTGTTTGATATTGAAAGCAAAGTGGACCCTGCCAAGGCCTGGGGAGAAGTGAAGAGACAGATTTCTATTGCAGCCTTCACAGTGCAGGCTGCTGCAGGAACTTTAAGAGAAGTAGCCTAAGAGGGTTCCTTGGAGAACTCACATTGAATTCATGTGGTAGATCACTCAGAAAGAATCATGATGGTTATATTTACAAATTAAAAATAGATATATTGATAAACTAAAAATAAAGTTGGAGATTATATGTATGTGTGTATTTTTTTCTTCTCCTTATGGATCAAAAATGAAGAATAGATAACTTTTATGCTCTAATTATAAAATGTTATTCTGAAGTTGAAACGTTGAAGTAAGTATTAAAACTAAGGAGAACAGCCTAATATAGTAAAACTCTTATCTGACATTATCAGGGAATCAAGTCTAATGTAGTACCTTCCAAATCTATTCATGTCATCGCACAGAGAAAAACATGAGTTTGTCATGCAACACCCTTGGGAAAATGTATAAGACTGCTTCAAACCAGAGGCCTCAGGCCCTGCCTGTCCACTTAAGGCTGGGAGGATCACTATCTTAGCACACCAGTTGGGAAACTCTGATCTAAGCACACTTCTAGTAAACATAGTCACTGTATGCCATAAGGAATAATTACATTTTTAAAATTAAGAAACATTTTATTTATGTAAAAGGCTATATAGAGAATATATGTACAGTGAGAAATAGTAATGAAATGAACATTTATAAACCCAGTAACCAGATTAAGAAAGGAACATTTCTAATATCTTTGGTTCTCCATGGAATACTGGCTCATTGTGCCTTTTCTGCCAGTGATAATTACTTTCTTGAGTTTTATGTTTATCTTTCCTCTGTTTTAATTTACAATTTCATTACAGATGACTGTAGCTCTTACATGTTTTGGCTTTATGTATTTTTTGAACTTTTTATAAATAAAATCATGCCATGTATTTTTCCTGATACTTGCTGTTTTCACTTGCTTGTGTATCACTGTGGCTGTAGTTCAGATTTTCCTGATATAGAGCATTCATTTGCATGAATATAAGATTTATCAGCCAGGGTTCATCAAGACAAAGAAACCAGACAGTAGCATGAACAGGGGAAGTTAATAGAAAGAATGATTAATTATAGCAGCATTGGAGTAAAGAAGTATTGTGTAGCAAGAGGTAAAGAGAACTCTAAAGAATATATGAACAACAGATATAAGGAGTGGCTATTATCCACAGGGCAGAGTTGGAGCAGCCAGTGAAGAATCTCCCCCACCCCAGGGCTTCATTCAGGATTAAGAAGTGCTCTGTTGCTACACTCGCAGAGCTCTTTGCAAATCCACACTCTAGCACGCTGACTGCCACACTAGGAACAAAAACCCCACACCTTGGGGCCACAGTGTTTGATTACAAAAATAGAATAAAAACTTTAAAAACGAAATTATCCTTTCTAATGAAAGATTTGTTATTTTTTATTTTTTGTGTGTAAGTTATATGCAACACAATCCATGTTTTTAGAATTCAGTTGTCAATATTAATTGTAACAATAAAACCATCAACAAGGTAAAGAGAGACGTGTGAGTTATATATGCTTGATGAGTCCCCAGGCTCAAAACTAGCCTGAGTTAAATACAACTCACATGGCAGTTAAGATGCTAGAACTCCCTAGAAACTTGCCTGGTAGGCCGCTGTGGAGAGCTGTTTATGGGTAAGGGTCATGTTGCCAGTGGCACTGCACTCCAAATCTGCCCGAGGGCAGTGTCAGGAGAAGCTCCTGGCTGCTGGGTTCTGCTGGCCACTGTGAGCTGCAGGAACCAGGTGCTATGGCAGCAGTCTGCCCTAGGGGATCTGGAACTGGTGAAGCGTGTGTGCCTTGGGGCCACATACTGGAGACATCATGTTCATTGCAGAAGCTGCCAAGGGAGCACATGGAAAGCAGGAAGGAAAACCACCTCTTGCAATGTCTCTCCAATGGCTTCTACTCACAAAGTTTAACATCATGCCACTTGGCAAAGAAAAAATATTTAAAGGACCCAGATCCATTTGTGAAGACAATGAAGAGTGAATTGAAAGTGAATAACCACAAGTTGGAAAACTAGTGCATAACAGAATGAATTTATTCATCTTCCTGCCTACTGGTGTGTGTTTGGAAAGTTTTCTGTGTTTTGCTTCTGTGAACATTTCTCCTAATGCAAATATTCAAGAGATGCTCTTTCTTGACAGTATCTACCTCCGACTGGAATTTCTTGGTCATAAAATTTGTACATCTTCAATTTTACTGAGTTGTAAAATTTGCAATGCCAAACTGCTTCAAAGTGATTTTACTTATTTGTATTCCCACTGGCAAAGTAATCATGTTATACAAAATAATAGAAATAAGAAAGATTATGGCATGTTAGAGAAATATAAAGAACTCAGTGTTGTCTGGTGTCCTGATTGTTTTATTAAAAGGAAAAAGACTTTTGTCTCCATGAACTCATGGTGATTTTTTTTCTTATTGTACTAAATAATATCTCCCCATTTCCTTGGAAAAAGTAATCTAGAACCCTGAACAAAATAAATGGTTAATTTGCCTCTTACACACACACACACAAACACACACACACACATACACACACACACACACAACGAACTCTGTGTTGCCATTAATAGAATCCAAAGAGTTTAGGGGAGGAACAATCTATACAGTGAACATTGGATATACCAGGCTTCGGAAGACATCCAAAGAAATGTAACTATTTTCCTGTAGTTTCTAAAACGCCACATAGTAAGGTTAAGCAGGGTAGGGATACGGGTCACATTTGCATTTTAGTAAGCATCCTGGCCTGAGTATAGGTGGATTAGAAGGGCATCAACAAGCAAAAAAATCAGACCCTAATTCTTTTCTCATGACAACATCTGTGCCATGTGGACTTAACCCTCAGAAAAGATAAGACTGCCCTTCTTATCCTTTCGATTTCAGCTTAGATGTCATCTCTTCTGGGAAGACTTCCAGGATAATGGCTCTTTCCCTTGTATTGCCAACTAGACCATAAGCTCCTTAAGTATTAAGTGTTGTTTGTTATTTTGTCTCCAATCCCTACCAGTATGCAGAGTCCAGAGCAAACACTCATTTTGTGAATAATCAGAGTATCATGTACATGGGACTCTGTCTAAGAAGTTATCTGCTTTGTAAAGAAGAGCCATCCTCCACACTAGGATTTCTGTAATGTTTTTGTGATGAAGTTTGACTGAGCATGCTAGCAGGCTTTTTGTGATCCTATTGATAGAGAGTTGGACAATAGTTTACAGGTGGGATAAGGTGAACATTATTATGTTGTAAACCAGCGGATCAAGGGGACTCAGACACCAGAATCCAATCAGCCAAATTAGTTTATTGATACCTGCGCAGGGGCTGTCACCACTCCCTGCAAGGAGGGAGAAGCAGCCCCAAACAAAGCCTTTGCAGTTTTCTTATACTCTGGGGCTGGCAGCTATGCAAGCGAGCAATTGCAGAAGCAGAACTTTGCAGTTAGCCATTAATCAAGCGAACAATAGAAAGGTACATTGAGGGACAAGGGACTATCCTGGAACAGAACCTCTCTATTGTTTTTGAGAACAAGCCTCCTTGACTCCCTCCTCCCTCCTCTGGGAACTTCCTCTGGGAACCTTTTTCACATGGTCCGGACCTTTTACTAATAGTTAGAGCAAGACTGACTGCATTTTAGATCTTCAGGAGCCATCTTTAGTTTATCTACTTGCTTTAATTATTCTAAAAAAACACAAAAATGTGTATAATATTTGAAAGATTTGTGAACTTTCAGTCAATTCTGTAAGCATTTAATAAGATCCCTCCAAAATATTTTATGCAATTCTGTGACTTAACATTATTGGGCAACATTTAATGTAACTGTCGTTCATGAGAGGTTGTACAGTGATAGGCTGATAGGCAGGAGTGAAGTTTTGAGACAGACTGCCTTCGTTTGAACTCCGCTTCTCTCATTGACTTCAAGTAAGAACTATGGGCTCTCTGTTCTTAAATTTCTTAATCTCAAACATGGGCATAAAATAGTATCTATTCCACAGGGCTCTGTAAGAAATAAGCTAGTAATGTAAACCACTTAGAACAGCTTTTAGCATGTAATTAGTGATAAATAAATGCTTGATATTGTCATTTGAATTATAGAGTATTTCTTAGTTTGCTAAAGAAATATCATTTTTTCTCTTTTCCTTCTTCTGCATGATGATACAGTTGAATTAGATGATAAATGATGTAGCTTTCAGCCCTAAAATTCTGAACTAGTCTTTATTCTTTTGTATGCATCTTATAAGTTTCCTATTATTTATTTCTAATATAGTTGTAAGATGTCTTTCACTAACTTGCACCTATATATTTGTTGTTTCGTGGGATTCAGAAATGATGTGAATTAACTAACTTCATGAAAAAGAAATGTACAAAACATGAACCCAGATTCATAAGTCAAACTCTACTGAATCTAAACAAATGGATAAACAACAACACCATAATAGTTGGAGACTTTAACACCCCACTGACAGCACAGGACAGAGCCTCCAAACAGAAAATCAATAAAGAAATAATGGACTTAAACAGAACCCTAGAACAAATGGGCCTGACTGACATTCACAGAACATTCTACCCCAGAACCACTGAATATACGTTATTCTCATCAGCTCATGGGTCATTCTCTAAGATTGACCATATCCTAGGACACAAAGCATGTCTCAAACAATTTAAAAAAATAGAAATTATACCATGTATCTTTTCAGACCACAATGGAATAAATGTAGAAATCGACCCTAACAGGAGTCCTCATTTCTACACAAAGTCATGGAAACCAAACAACCTCTGCTGAATGATCATTTCATAAATGAGGAAATCATGATAGAAATCAAAAGATTATTTGAAGTAAACAACAACGGTTACACAAGTTACCAAAACCTGTGGGACACAGCTACAGCAGTCCTGAGAGGAAAGTTTATTTCCATAAATGCCTATATCCAAAAGTTGAAAAGATCACAAATAGACAACCTAATGAATCATCTCAAAAAGTTGGAAAAAGAAGAACAGACCAACCCCAAACACAGCAGAAGTGAAATCATTAAGATCAAATCAGAACTAAATGAAATTGACAACAGGGAAACTATACGGAAGATTAATAAAACAAAAAGTTGGTTCTTTGAAAAAATAAAATTGACACACCATTGGCTAGACTAATGAAAAGCAGAAAAGAAAAATCTCTATTAAGCTCCATCAGGAAAACTAAAGGAGAAATCACAACTGACGCCACGGAGATACAAGATACAATTTATGAATACGACAAAAACCTCTATGCACACAAACTGGAAAGTGTGGAGGAAATGGATAATTTCTTAGAAACACACAGCCTCCCTAGGCTCAAACAGGAAGAAATAGAATTCCTGAACAGACCAATATCAAGTACTGAAATTAAAACAGCAATAAAAAGCCTTCCTAAAAAGAAAAGTCCTGGACCAGATGGTTTCACACCTGAATTTTACCACACCTACAAAGAAGAACTGGTGCCTATCCTGGAAAAATTATTCCACAACATCGAGAAGAATGGAAACCTCCTCAACACATTTTATGAAGCAAACATAACCCTGATACCAAAACCAGGAAAGGATGCAACAAAAAAAGAAAACTACAGACCAATATACCTTATGAATATAGATGCAAAAATTCTCAACAAAATCCTAGCCAATTGAATCCAGGTGTCTATCAAGAAAATAATTCATCACAACAAAGTGGGCTTCATCCCAGTGATGCAGGGATGGTTCAACATACACAAATCTATAAATGTAATTCACCATGTGAACAGAAGCAAAAACAAAGACCATATGATCCTCTCAGTAGACACAGAGAAAGCATTTGACAAAATTCAACACCCTTTTACGATAAGAACACGCAACAAAATAGGCAGAGACGGGGTTTACCTAAAAATGATACAAGCCATA